AAGTTTTGTCTTCGGAAGTGTTTCTACACTCTCGTCTGATTAGAGCGTAATGCTCCTTAGTTATTACTCTAGTTTCAAGATTAATTCCGTAACGCTTTAATTTTTAGCTCTTGTTACTTAGAGCAGTCAAAATTTGATCAGTTTTTCAACGATACTTTTAAGAGTAAAACTATTGTTTCTGAATCAATTCATAGGCAGATTTGGGTTTCGGTACCATCCTAGCCCCTTAAAGTTTTTGACCTGCTCATAAGCCCTCCCGCATCCCCATCACCGGCATCACCATACTCGTAGTAGGCGGCGTTTGAGAAATCTAACAAGGGTTCGGACCCCTTAACGGTTTTTATTTTTGGCTTTTTTACTCGGAAGCTTCCTCTTTTTATTCTGAATACCGCATTCTCCTTAACGTTTCAAAAACGTTTCAAAAAAAACTTTTTAAAGCCTTTTTATCAAAAGCTATAGTGACTTGCAGTTCAACATTTTCACCCTTTCTGGCCCTTTCTTTACTTCTTTTGCGGGATTTTATGGATCAACAAGCATGCACAGGACGGCGTGGCTATTGGCGCGCCGCGGAGTCCTTTCTCTCACAGGCGCACTATCCGATATGTTCTTCACCTCTTTTGCGGGAATTTTTGGGATCGGCACGCATGCACAGTACGCGCGTGGCTATTGGCGCGCCGCGGAGTCCTGTTTCTCTCACAGGCGATTTTTTTTCTCTGATACGTTCCTCTTCAAAAAACGCTTCCTAATATCTTCAGTACCATCCTGAGAGCAAAATCTCCTTAAAAAGTCTTTATGATTGCTTTATGATAACCTCTCTAAATTCGCTGAATTACATTTCATTTTACGATTTATTCCATTCTACGAGATTGATTGCGCTAATAGCCTCTTTTCCATTGATTCTAGGATATTTTCAGGCTTGTTCTATTCGCTCACCATCGATAGTTTGTCGAATCTTGCTAATTCCGAAATTTTTAGGTAACATGTCCGAAAAGCAAAAATGCCTGCTGGGCCCTGATGAGACGACCTTCCTCCGCATCTCGGATTGGCATGGAGTCAAACTTGGAAAAGCGTTCACCCCGGCGTCGTCAGAAATCGAGGTAATGATAATGATATTGCGTTGTGAGGTGCTACCCCTTCAACGGGGTATTTTTCCTCCTAGTTTTTCCAGAACAAAAATTTTAATTTGGCAAAATCTAAATTCTCGACTTTTTTTGGACACTTCATACATTTTTGGCCAAAAAATCAAAAAGTCTAAAATTTTTATAAAGTTTCTATATAAAATCTTTGTAAAATACTATAAAAACGGTTTATATCACGTCATAGGGCCGTACGGGATCTGGGGAAAAATTGGTTTCCCCTCGTTAAACTCCCCCCCCCGCCGTTAAAGGGGTAGCATCCGTTGAGATCTAAAGTATTCAAAATTAGGCGATAATCGACATGCACGCGCGGTCGAGACTCGGGCCTAACCCGCGAGCAGTGGTGCTAGCACTCGAGAAGGGGTTTGAGGAGAAGCGCTTCGAAAAGGTAATATTTTTACTAACTTCAACGTTCCTCTTTAGTTGAACTGTGTCGTGGCATGGCTCGTCGTTCCTCCGGAAGCGCCGTCGAGTACGGTGACATCTATCTCCTTTTCGAGTGGCGACGAGGATACGGACAGCGACTGGAAAGAGCGAGCCCGAAGGTAACTGAACTTTTAGCAATATAGGCTATATATGGTTAGATGAACAGCTTTCGAACTAGATTTACTTTGCAGCAAGGTAGTCTCTAAAATTCGCCGCATTTTAGGTTGTGGGCAGATTCGAAACAAGAAGGTCGAGACGAAGAAGCGCAAGAAGTCTGCTTCGAAAAATTGGCCGCGATAGGACACGAGCATGCGACGCGGGAAGACGAATGGGCCGGACTCCAAGCACAAGGCAATACCGAAATCATGGCGCATTTCTCTGTGAGCCCCGGACGAACGTGCGTGATAAACGATCTGATCCAGTTTTTCAAGTGAGATTTTCGAACTTATTAGAAATTTTGTGACGAAACTTTATGCTAGCAAACTTCTCAAAAATTCGTTGTTTCAGGGATAATTGTCCTGGCAACGTTGAATTGGGGCCCTCTAAGATGATCCGCCGTGAAGGGAGGCTCGCCCACATTTTCGTGAAGGCGACTTCATATGAAGCCTTGCTAGAAGCCGAGGAAGCGCTCTCACATGTCGATATCAAAGCGGAAAAGAATTTTATATTTACTGTCTAAATAAAGTCTTGTCTGCGACGTACACTGCGACATTGCGATAATTGGTGATAATACCGATAGAAGTACTTCGTGAAATGCTCTGCCATTATATTTGTTCGGTAACGAATTCTGGATGAGCGCAATGATCGAACGGCCATTGTTGCGCATTGTACACCATTTCTCTCCGCCGCCGATTTTAGGTTCTTTGCGCGCAGCCCATAAAGAGCGAGCTTGAAATAAGTCTCCGAAAGTTTATTTATCGCTTATGATTTGTCGAAAAAGATCTTGGATGACGTTTAGTTGAATAATCGCTTGGATGACGAATTTTAGCTCACGGAACGTGCAAATTTGTTTTTGGAATTGGTAATTCGTTTCTTGAAACGCCTGCTGTGTTCACGTTTTAGTTAAGCTTGGTTCCTTGACCTGTTTATCAACTTTCCTGTTTACTAGTGAATTTGTATAGAGTTAGAAATGAAATAGCTTTTCTTCTTATCTTCTCTGTCTATCTATCTATCTCTGCCCCGACGACCGCGTCGCTGAGCACAGCATAGAGGTGCCAATCCATAAAAAGTGATGATCCATGCTCGCTTCCTTAGTTAGGAAATCTGTAAAAATCCACCCGGGGCAGTTAATGCTTAGCGAGCATATTCAGGACAAATACCGCTTTTCGCTTTTTTTCGCTTTGACTACGCGCTTGATGCCCATCTCGATGTGTGTTCTTACAACTTTGCACTATTGCTGTTTTCAAATACTGTTCTCCTTTTTTTTTTCTTTTGCGTAAACTGATGAATTCAGGTTTTCTGATGTCGGAGGTCGGACTGGGCAGATCGAATTGGCTGGCGTGGGCTGGCATTGCCGGTAATTACTCTTTTTCATTTCAAAACGGGTTTTCTAGGCACCGCCTTCCTCGGATATGCCATCTACTTCGACTACAAACGCCGCACCGCGCCCGACTACAAGCAGAAAGTGCGTGAGAGTCAGTTTTATTTCATTTTTGAAGATATATTCGTTCCAGATCGTCGTCGAAAGGCGCTCGGCAAAAATGGACGCGATGTTGTGTCGGCGCGGGGCGGCAACTCCATGGGAATGCCGGATCCGCGAAACCCGACCTCGATGCAAGCCTTCTTCCTGCAAGAGGTTCAACTTGGCGAGGAGCTGATGTCTGCCGGTAATATAGAGTGCCCAAAAATCATTCCTCGACATCTGGCCGGCTTTCCCAATCGGATCCGCATTTTTGCCAGTGATGCGGCATAGAAAGTGTTTTGCGCCGAATTATCAAGGCCAACGATGTAAAATCAAGCAGTTGTAGCAAAATTAGGCTTTATTGTATGCTGCTTTAATGGATTTCTACCTCGAACTGTTTAGCGCCACAGAAAAGGGCATTTTTCTGCCGGGGGATTTTCTACTTTTTCCCTACGAAATTATCGTTTGAACCCAAGCTTTTGATCACTTTTTATCATCAAAATCGGCGGGCGTGAGTACTGGATGGCCAGTTTGTAGAAATTACCCAAAATCCGCGTTTAATTAGTTTGAGTTTGACGTGCATCGAACCCTCCAGAAAGCCCGGTTTTTTTACTGCAACTTGATTCATGTAATTTATAAGCTTTTATACTGATTTTTTTACTTCAAATTCACTTGTACATCGTTTTTACGGGTCCGCATCGCTGGTAAAATCTGGATCCGATCGCATAGAAGGCTGCGAACAGCCGAGAGGTTATTTTGGGAGACCGTGTTGATTTTTGACGACAATTATCAGCGGTGAACAATCTAGAATCATGATATCTACGAAACCGTTTGCAAAATTGCAGCTTGGCATCGAAACGTGTTTTTTTTTCAGGAAACGTGGCCGAGGGTGCGGTGCATATCGCGAACGCCGTCGTGCTGTGCGGCCAACCACAAGAGCTACTGTCGATTTTCCAACAAACGCTGCCGCCCGACCAGTTTGCCGCCGTCGTCCAAGTGTTGCCGGGCGCTCGAGGAGTTTGTTTTTTGCCTTTATTGCAAATCGTTTTGCTTAGCGTCTCGCCGACATGTTCGACACGGCTGCCGACCAAGTCGAGGCCAGCGGCGGCGCAGGCGACGGGTCGTTTATGATATCAGCGCTCGAGCCGAATGGATCGTCGGGATCTGGGGTGAGGACTTATTTGGCTTCTGGGGTGAGGACTTCTTGATTTATTTGGCTGTTCCCTGCCCGGAAAGTGGAATTTCGTGATTTTTGACCAAAAAGCCGGCAATTTTCGAAAACCTTATAATAGTTTCGTAAGATTTTAAAGAGATTCCTTGAAATTCTTCATTAAAAGCTATGTAATTGGCTTCATAACGTGGTTTTTGACAATGAATTTGCAAAATTATGTTTCGAAAATCCTAAAACACTTACAAGTATTTCAAAAAATGGTGATTTTTTTTGGTCAAAAATGCAGCAGTGCAAACGGTCAATAATTTAGGCGAAATGGGTTTAGGCGAAACGGGTCTTAGGCGATATGGGCTTTAGGCGAAATGAGACTTAGGCGAAATGGGCTTTAGGCGAAACGGGTTTTAGGCGATATGGGTTTAGGCGAAACGGGTTTAGGCGAAACGGATTTAGGCGAACTGGCCGTCACCCAAATGGAGGGCTTTTAGACGCTTTTTTTACTATACGAAAACGCGAAAAGTTTGCAAATCCTACTATATATAAAAAAATAGTGTCTGTGTGTGTGACTTTGCATGCAACTTCCGTCAGCGTGTCCGGAGGATATCTCAAGAGGGGAAGGGATGAAGGGGGCGTATGATACGTCATTAGACGCGTATTGGCGTGTAGATGACTGCACGCATATCAGATTTTGCAATTTCGATTGTTTTCGACATAAAAATTAAGTTTTTCCTTAAAAATCGGACAACCTCTTTGTTAGGAAAAAATTAGCATACGCCGGAAGTGGGAGTAGCCTATATAATCAGGGAGAGGACGCGCTTTTCATTTCTGTGACATAAAAGTGCGGAAAGTTTATGCAAAGCGAGGGATATCATAGCGTTGGACGGGGCCAGGGTTGAAAAGTCGCGAAGCGGCTTTTCAACCCTGGTTTTGAATAAAATGCAAAAAAATATCGTCGTTTTTGAACAACGACTTTTTTCAGTTTTTTCGTGTTTTGCCAGTTGAAATATACTAAAATTTTTAAAAAAGACCATTAACACTTACTTTAACGTTACTAGACATTTCTGGACTTGTAGGAAAACGTTGGAGCGAAAAATGGTCCCCCGGTAACGCGAAAGCACCTATTTTTAAATCCGTTTTTTAGGCTGCCCAGCTGATCGAGGAGGAGCTGGAGTGATGCTGGATCGGCGCGTCACAACACTCCGGATTCACTTGACCGTTGTTTTTCGCATCATCTCATTTTCGCCACCCCCACTTGCTAGCATTTTTGGTTAGAACATCTTTGGACAGCCCGATCGTTTAAATGAAGCGTTTCACACATAGCTCTCGTTTGTTTGTTGATGTGTTTGTGATTTCGCGCGCCACAAATTTCCGATGCATTGATTCGTTCGTCTTGTTCCATTTTTCGTTGATTTGTTTCATCCGCTCAGGCATCACCAATAAATCTAGTTCACCTGCCCCACCTCCCTAGAGTCAAGCCGTATAAGCTGATAATGCCGATTAGGCTATCATATTTCATCGCGATGACGACATCAACAGCCGTTTTTGTTTCCAAATCATCTAAATTCTAAATTCAGGTTTTTCGTATGACATTCTAAAGTGTCGTAATGACTTCGCGGGCGGGATTTTAAACAGACTGAAGGCATGATAGGAGCGTAGACTTTTTGCCCCGCGAAAATAGCGCCAAAATCGGCATTCTGTAAATAGGTATTAGGTAAAATCGAGATTGTGTAGGTAATTCGAGTCAATCCTTTATTCGACGGTTGGACCTGTGCGATAAAAATCGCAAATCGGATACTCCTGGATAAATGGGAAGAGCCCGGGGATATAAAACTAATCAAATGAGGGCGATTCGGTTGGCCTGTTCGAGCCGCTAGCCGTCGTTTCGTCCACGGCCCTGTTGATGAAGCCGCCGCTGTAGGCCATGTTTAGGAGAACCTCGGGCAGATCTAGACGTTCAATCGTCGATGGAAGCCCTGGTACTGGACTTTTAGCGGGGGAATCACTATCTGTTTTTTACTTGTGGATGATTTTTAGATATTTTTATAGTTTTAGTAGAAAAAGGGGGGTCCCTTTCTTTTTTACTGGCGGTTTCGGTCGGCCTATTAATCAAATATAAAGTGTTTTTACATTGTTTTTAGTAAACTTTGACTATATTTGAGTAGAAAGAGGAAGAAGTAGAAAAACTTTCAAAAAAGTTAGAAAACTGTTTGAAAAGACAAAATTGGTCCATTCTGGCTCGAAAAAAAGCAATTTTTCGACCTAAAATTATTTTCCAATTAACATTTGTATAGTTTTTATGCTTAGGAATAGTTAAAAACAATTTAGAAACGCATCCGATATTTCCAAAAAAATTTAGGCTTTGACGAAAAAACGTTGGCTCCCCCCGCGAATCCTAAACAACCCGAAAACCGTGTAAATTGCTTCAAAATGTTTTCTTTTTAGTTAGGGTTACTGGGCAAAATTGGTTTCCCTTGCTAAGAGTCCAGTACCGAATCCCTGCTGGCTAGCCCACCAAAGATGGTCATTTGCGGCATGACCGGCTGGTGCTGCATGAAGTTGACGACTGCCGTCGCGCTCGACGACACTCGAGGGGACGACGGGACGGTCTGATGAATGGCATCGTCTAGTCAGTTGCAACGTACCGAGATTGACGACGTGGAGCTGGAAACGCTCGAGCTGCGGCTCACCCGAATGCTCGCCACGTTGCGCCGCGTGTCGCATTGTCGCGCCGAGCCGACCGCCGACTAAAACAAGGTTAAAGGCAGGTTAACGTAAAAATCTTGGCAATTTTTTAAAATACAAAAAATATCGAGTTTTCGACGAAAACATGGCCGTTCTTGACCAAAATTTCGAATTTTTGAAAAATTTTTCGAAGTTTTTATAGTTTTTCTGGTTATGAAAATGGCATCTTACTAAATATTACTTGTTTATCTTTCGTGATCTTACTAAAAGATAGAAACTACTACTGGTTTTCTCTAATACCTTTTTTCTAGGTTCAATCTTACTACGGCTGAAGTGCAGTTTACCCCCTCCCCCCCAGCCGACCCCCACCTAGCGTATCTCGGCTCCCTATTCATCTACAGGTGTGTAAAGTATATCAAAATATTCGCGAGAGCAAGACGAACATTTTGGTAGGCACTTGACATACCGGTAGATGAACAGGGAGCCGAGACACAAAAGCTGGGTGCCGGCTAGGGGGGGGGGGTAAACCGCCCTCTAACCCTTACTAAAAAAATATTTAAAATACTTCCCACTATTATCAGGCATTTCTGGATTAATATAAAAAATTGTTACCGATAATACCGATCCTTCCCCCCCCCCCGATAATGCCAAAGAACCAAACGCCTACCGTGGACGGGCTGGATCCATCGTGCTCGATCCTCAGACTCGTCACATCCCGGCGCGTATCGCATTGGCTACGCTTTGGGCGCGGCCCAGCTGTGGCACGTCGCCTCTGCCCGGCACCGTGGAAGAAGACGGCATTGTTGGGGTTGAAGCGGGCGGCGTTCAGGCTGGCCGTGTCGTTGTCGCTGTCGTCGTCGCTGCTGCTCGACGATTCGGCGCATTGCAGCTCTGGGTCGGCCATCAACGAATTGACGAGGCGCCCTGAAAATTTGGTTCTTTCGCATTATGGGGGGGGGGGTTGCCGAACTCATCTAAAAATGCCCTGTTAATAGTCAGCATCTAAACTTTAAAATGTTGAAAAAGTCGAATTTTTGGTCAAAACAGCGCCACTTTTGGTCGACAAATCGATATTTTGATGATTCTTAAGGAAAAATAGTGAAGTTTTCACGTTTAGGAATAGTAAAAAACCATTCAGAAACACTGCCACTATTTATATTTGCAAAATTAGATCCCAAGGAAAAAAGTTGGTAAAGTAAGAACAGAAAAACCCGCTATTTTCCTCGTAGGCCGTGCGAATCTGCGTCTTGACGTTGCGCAGCTTCACCTCAAAATCACACGTTTATTTATTTATTCTTTGGCGAATATTTAATTTAATTTAATTTTCAAATTTACAAACGATTTTTGGTGCTTTCACATTATCGGGGGGAGCGGCAGCTATTTGTTTGTTTACGTTTCTTTGCTATTTTGTTTGAAGTGTTTTTAACCTGTTCTTACTATTGCTAAATTTAAAAAAAACCCGACAAATCCTATCCTACTATATATAAAAAAATAGTGTTTGTGTGTGTGTGTGTGCCACTTTGCATCAACTTCCGGATGTCTGTCCGGAGGATATCTCAAGAAGGGACGGGTATTAGGCTACGTATGATACGTCATTAGGTGCGTAATGGTCTAGGGATGACTGCGCACATATCAGATTTTTAAAAATTAGCCATTTTAGCTATTAAATTTACGTTTTTGTAAAAACCTCTTTGTTAAGAATAATTAGCATAGACCGGAAGTGGACCGTCGCCTATATAAAGGGGCAGAAAGGGTTGTTTTTCAGTTTTTTTTTGTCTTCTGAATGAAGGACAAGTATTGAAAGGGCAGAATAGTATGGGGGTCCGAGACGGGGCCAGGGTTGAAAAGTCGCGAAGCGGCTTTTCAACCCTGGTCTCTATTAAAGATATAAAAAACTCGACTTTTAGTAAAGTACTTCCAATTTTTAAACTTTTTCTAATTATTTTCCCACTTGAATTAGTTAAATTTGTCGTATTTCAACTAGAAAAACTATCTAAACCCCTAAAATAATTTCAAAAAGTAATTTTAGTAAAAAAATCGACAGTTTTTCGTCGAAAACTAGATATTTAAAAGAAAAAAAAGGGTACAATTCGGATAAGCGGGGGGAAACCAACTTTTTTTTGTCGGCCCTGGTGGGGATAATAATCAAATATAAAGTGTTTTCACATTGTTTTTAGCACAATTTAAGCCTATTTTAATAGCAAAAACTTTTTAAAAAGTTAGAAAAACGCTTGAAAAAGTCGAAAATTTGGTCATTTTTGGACCGAAAAAATTGATTTTTCGACATAAAATTAAATTTTTTAATTAAGTTTTGTAAAGTGGTAAGAGTTTACTTCCCCCCCCCCCCCACAGCCGAAGGGTCTCAAAGTTGTCGGTATTTTCGCTTATTTTGTCGGGATTTTCGCACCGCCATTCGATAGAGCGTCGAAAAACATACTACGAGTTTTAATTTGAGCCTACAATAATGTAAAATAAAAAAGTTATAATAAAAACTTCCGGCTGGGGGGTAAAGTAAACCGTAGCCAAAAAATGAGATTACCAGAACTAGAAAAACTGCTAGAAAAAATTCCGCTCCATCCCTCCCCCCGATATTGCGAAAGAACCGTGAGGTTTTTGTAAGCGAAATGCATTAAAAGAAGCATTTTTCATGGCATTTATACCCGTTCGCCGACATAGCTGTAGTAGAGGCATTGGGTGAACACACAGCAGCACGTCATCAGCATGATGGCCACACTGAGGGTGAGCAGCATCAACAGCTGCAACCACCGCGTGCCGACCGTCTCGGATGACTCGGGCGCTGCGGTGGGCGTGATTTAGGGTTTTTAATTCGTACCGAATTACCTAAAATCGAGGAGAGGTCGAGTTGCTGCTCGGGGAGGCTGATTGGGATGTACTCCTTGAAGTCGAGGGCTGGGAAGGTGGTTGCTGAAAAGCGATCGTTTCCTCAAAGAATCCCTACTAGCCTGCCCTCAACAGCTTGTATTATGCAAAATCAAACAATCTTGACCATCGACGGGCGTTGGTAGGAGGTCAAAGTCCGAGATGTTGGGCAAGGCGGCCATCCAGGAATAACTCTGGGGCCGAATAATTTTTATGCGATTAGGTGTATGTAATATGCCGCTGTAAGGATTTAAAGTAGAAGGCTAGCAGAGATTGGAGGAGGAAATGGACGGACCCCGAGAGAAGGGCAGGCTAGCAGAGATTGGAGGAGGAAATGGACGGACCCCGAGAGAAGGGCAGGCTAGCAGAGATTGTTTGAGGAAATGGACGGACCCCGAGAGAAGGGCAGGCTAGCAGAGATTGTTTGAGGAAATGGACGGACCCCGAGAGAAGGGCAGGCTAGCAGAGATTGGAGGAGGAAATGGACGGACCCCGAGAGAAGGGCAGGCTAGCAGAGATTGGAGGAGGAAATGGACGGACCCCGAGAGGAGGGCAGGCTAGCAGAGATTGGAGGAGGAAATGGACGGACCCCGAGAGGAGGGCAGGCTAGCAGAGATTGAGGAGGAAATGGACGGACCCCGAGAGGAGGGCAGGCTAGCAGAGATTGGAGGAGGAAATGGACGGACCCCGAGAGGAGGGCAGGCTAGCAGAGATTGGAGGAGGAAATGGACGGACCCCGAGAGGAGGGCAGGCTAGCAGAGATTGGAGGAGGAAATGGACGGACCCCGAGAGGAGGGCAGGCTAGCAGAGATTGGAGGAGGAAATGGACGGACCCCGAGAGAGGAGACCGCCGCCCTGCGCTTGCCAAACGAGTACTTTGCCAATGCACCATGGTGCCAACCGGGAGGGGAGCCGTGACAGAGTACTTCAGGGCCCCTGGCCGAGGCACAACTATGGAGGGAATAGTGGACCAGGATCCGAATTTTTGGCTTTTTCAAGCTTAATTTGCACCAAAAATGACTTTTTAAATAAAAGTCCGCAGTAAATTTGGAAAACGGATTCGGTATCAGCAAAAAATTCTGCACAAGATGCACTTGGTCCCGAATCGAAACTCCAACTTGAGTAAAAACACTTTACAGTCAGATCAGGATGATTTTTATATTATCCTACTGTATATAAAAAAAATAAAAAAAATAGTGTCTGTGTGTGTGCCACTTTGCATCCACTTCCGTATCGTTGTTCCAGTCGTATCTCTATAGGGGAAGGAGTGAGGGGTGGGTACGATACGTCATTATGTGCGTAATGGTCTAGGGATGACTGCCCACATATCAGATTTATACAAATCAGCCATTTTCGATATTAAATTTAAGTTTTTGTAAAAACCTCTTCGCTAGGAAAAATTGGCATTGGCCGGAAGTAGGGAGTCGCCTATATAAAGAGCCACAAGCGAATCATTTTCATTTTTTTGGTCATCTGAATTCAGCGCAATTATGCAAAGCGTAGAACAGGATACGGTCCAAGACGGGGCCAGGGTTGAAAAGTCGCGAAGCGGCTTTTCAACCCTGGTATTATATAATTTTGGAGTGTATCTCTGTGTGTGTGTGTGGATGTCACTTTGGAGGGCCGATTTGAGGGCCTTCCCGTGTCCAAAATGCCTCAATTTTCCGTCACCCGGGGGAATCGACCCTCCTCTTTCCGATGGCGCTTTCAGAATCCCGATAAATGCAAGTTTACAAAGTTAAAGCCGGTTTTATTGTTTTTTGGGGGTCCAGGAGGGCTAATTTGCATAATGAAAAAAAGAGAAATTTCCTCATTCTTGCCAGTTGCACTCGCGAGTTTGGTCGGGGGGGCGGGGGTCCGAAGGGCCCGAGCTATCAGAAAGTCAAATCTTTCATGCAAGGGCCGCATTCCAGCGCCCAAGGCCCGCGAAGCGGGTTTTGGGCGCTGGTTTTTATATCATTCGAAAGCCCGCGAAAAGGCAAGAAAACAAGCGGGCTTCATTTTCTAAGATTTCTTCTGATTCCTCCAATATTCAGCGTTTTTATAAAAAAACAGGTAGCTTTTCAATAGGAATTTCGCAATTAGCATGCAGATCTCGCGTAAATCTGCCGTTTTCATGGATTTTCGAGGTAAAATTCGCCAATAAAAATACATAATAACGAAAGACACGTCTGCGCGCCGCTAGAGGGGGGGGGGAGGTGCTTTTTTTGGGACACCCTGTATGGCTGTTTCCCGTCTAGTGACTGAATTGGAAGTCTCTTCGTAATGTTTTTAGTATTTTGACCAGAAAATCAACCTAAAATGTTTCACATTTTTTTGAAGACCGTGAAATTCCGTGATTTTGAGGCAAGCCGAAGATGGGAAATGAAAACTCGCGGCGTTTCGGAATCGTTTTTGTTTGGCCGACGGTATTTATTAATTTAAAAGCGCAAAGAAATGTGGAGAAAAATGGCTGTTCATGGGAACTGTTTAGATTGTTGTCTGGACGGTGGCGTCATCGAACATAATCGAAATGCTTATAATGCATGATGTGGCCTTTACCATTGCAGATGCCCTGCGATACATAATCAATGCACCTGTAAATATACATTCGGTTAGAGTGTAGTTTACTTTTATATCTAGGCTCCCTGTTCATCTACAGGTGTGTCAAGTACAGGGTGTCCCAAAAAAATCGACCCCCTCTAGCGGGCCGGAGAAATGTCCGATCGGGATGATTTTTACACCATTCGAAATCTCTCGGAAAGGCGAGAAAACAAGTGCTTTTCGTTTTACAAATTTTTTTAGCCCGCGCCCGATATTCAACGATTTCTCAAAAAGAGTAAAATCAGCATCGTTATGTTTGCTTTAGCAAGCAATTAGCATGCTGATATTGCATAAAATGTGCAGTTTTCATGGATTTTCGGCCTAAATTTGGTGGATTAAAATGACTACCAGGGTTGAAAAGCCGCTACGCGGCTTTTCACCCCTGGCCTTTGCGGGGGTATCTCTAAAAGCTGCTCACTTTGCATAATTCTAGCGAATTAGCGCCAACCTCTCAACTAAATAAAACAAAAGCGACCGAATGCGAGCGTGACAAAATCCGAAATAAGCCCCTTAACGGCTCGTATGCAAATGAGGACATTTCCATATGTTTTAAAAAGACTAAAATAAGGTATAAATCGTCGTTTTCTTAAAAATCTGATAAGCGCGCAGTAACCTACGCCTTCAAATACCCCTAAATACGTTTCAGTTGGCCCCTAAAACGCTTTTCCCGTCCTGATATCTCAATAACCCGGTTTTTCGAGCCTTTTATGCAAAGTGTCTACACACAAACACTATTTTTTTATATATAGTAGGATAAAGAAGAACAAGAAGTGCTTGTTTTCTCGCCTTTTCGAAAGCTGTCGATAGATACCGAAATCGTCACAATCGGACATTACTGCGGCCCGCAAGAGGGGGTCGATTTCATGAAAAGCGAGGTGTTACCTACCTGGTTCATGACATTTGGGCTGGTAGTAGTGCGATCGATGTACCGCATAAACCGCCTAAAATACGGGGTGAGGAAGGCGCGATCAAAAGAAAACAAATTATAAAGAAAAGAAATCACGGGTGGACGAACGGACGTCGTCCACGTGGCATTTCTTTTTTCCGGTCGTAGTCCGAAATTTCGAAGCAAAATATTGTAAAACAAAAAAGTCGAAATTACGGTTTATAATTCCGATTTCACTGGGATTTTGACGGATTTCCACCTCGAAATGTTTAGTAAAAATGAAGAGGGCACTTTTTTCCAGCCGGAGGAATTTTTTGATTTACGAAAATCCTACTTCCTATTATATCCTACTATATATAAAAAAATTGTGTCTGTGTTTGTGTGTGTGTGTGTGTGTGTGTGTGTGTGTGTGTGTGCCACTTTGCATCCACTTCCGTCTGTCTGTCCGGAGGATATCTCAAGAAGGGACGGGTATTAGGCTACGTATAATACGTCATTAGGTGCGCAATGGTCTGGAGATGACTGCACGCATTTTAGATTCAACAAAATCACCTATTTTCGACATTAAATTTAAGTTTTTGTGAAAACTTCGTTGTTAGGAATAATTAGCATAGACCGGAAATGGGGATTTGATCATATAAATGGACAGGAGAGGTTGTTTTTCAGTTTTTGTCGTCTGCACGCAGGAAAATTATGCAAAGTGCAGGATAAAATGGGGGTCAGACGGGGCCAGGGTTGAAAAGTCGCGAAGCGGCTTTTCAACACTGGTTACTTCTAAATTTGGACTTTTTTCACTTTTTATTCCCAAAATCGGCAGAAACCGGCCAGAACATGACAATTTTTCGGCAAATTACTCAAAATTGGCATGCTAAATGCGCGAACATAGCCAAAAATCGGTAACGGCGTCGCCAAAAAAAAAAATGAGTTTTTTAGGTGTAATTTTTTTTGTTTTACAATATTTTGATTAGAAAATTCGGCTGCGCATAGTTTTTATGGGTCCCCATCACTGACAAAAATTTGGTCTCGATCCGATAGAAGAAGGCCAGATGCCAAGGGGCGGGAGGGGGGGGTGGGGGTTTTTGGACACCCTGTATTTTAGCGATACCTCGAGAGCCACTGTCAGGCGATCTGCCTAACTCAGAATTGTGGTTATTTTATGGTCCGATACACCCCTTTGCAAAGTATTGATGTAACATGTAATACGTCCAAATGCCGGAGGGGTGCTTTATGTGGGGACACTCTGCAAGCCCACTGAACACACCGGCATATAGCGCTCATGGGCGTCGCGTATCCGCGAGATCTCGTCCTGATCATCGACTTCATTCAAACGTCTGCCCAGCACCAGTTTTTCCACTTCTTTCTAAAATCGTGTAATAATAATCATGCATCAACTATAATAATTTTGCCGTGGTCTTTTTCCGTCCGTGTGAAGCCGAATTCAACTCGAAGGGGAAAGGAGCTAGAGCTCAGGTCTCTTCGGATTCGACGAGAGCACGGTCGGAAACCACCATAATGATAACAAAAGTAGAAAAAGTTTTCGACTAAATATTAAATTTAACTTGTGACCCCCTTACAAGGAAACGTTTTTGAGGGACATCCCAGATTGGTAATCAAAGCTAGCTCATTCGATGCAGAAAAAATCTGAACAAATCAGGTTGCTTTTTCCAAATTTGCTTAATCGCCGACATGTTCGAGAAAGATAATTTTAAAACG